ACTACCTGAGGTCGGGAGTTCATGACCAGCCCGACCAACACGGTGAAACCCCGTCTTTTAAAAAAAAAAGATACTTGATGAAATTTTAATAAACTCTTGATTTAAATAATATTATTATATAAATGTTACATTTCTGTTTTTTAAAATACTACTCTGATTGCGTAAGAGAACAACCTTGCTTTTTAGGTACTACATACTAAAGTGGTTGGGGTAAAGGGGAATCATTTATCATATGTGTCAAATTGTTCAGAAGAATTATATATATATATGTGAAGCGAGAAAAAAAAAAAAACAACGCAAATGTGGCAAATACTAACTTCTGGAGAATATGGGTGAACAGATTTTTTTTTCTTTTTTTGAGACAGGGTCTCTGTCATGCAGGCTGGATACAGTGGCATGATCAGAGCTCACTGCAGGCCCAACCTCCCAGGCTCAAGTGACCTTCCCACTTCAGGCAGCTGGGACCACAGGCCCATGCCACCATGCTCGGCAAACTTTGTATATTTTTTAGAGATAAGGACTCCCTATGTTGTCCAGGCTGGTCTCAAACTCCTGGGTTCAAACGATCCTACCACTTCAGCCTCCCAAAGTTCTGTGGTTATAGGTGTGAGTCACCACACTTGGCTAGGAATTCTTTATACTATTCTTGCAACATTGATCTAAGTCTAAAATTCTTTCAAAATTAAAAGTTAGGCTGGGCTTGAGGGCTCATGCCTTTAATTCCAGAACTTTGGGAGGCCAAGGCAGGCGGATCACTTGAGGTCAGGTGTTCGATACCAGCCTGGCCAACATGACCAACACTATCTCTACTAAAAATGCAAAAATTAGCTGGGTGTAGTGGCACACCTTGGTAATCCCAGCTACTCCAGAGGCTGAGGTGGGAGAATTGCTTGAAGCTACAGTGAGACTGTCTCAAAACTAAAAATAAGAGATGAGGTTTCCAATGTTGGCAAGGCTGGTCTCAAACTCCTGGCCTCAAGTGATCCACCCACCTTGGCCTCCCAAAGTGCTGGGATACAGGCGTGAACCACCATACCTGGCCAAATCTAATTTTCATATAAGAAATTGTCACATGGTTCAGAATTACTTTAGAAATATACTAAAAAATTCTCATCCATGTCTCCAATCACCAATAACTCATCCCCAATAACTAGCCTTTATTATTTGTTCTTATGTAACCTTCCAGAGTTTCTTTATGCCTGTGCTTATCAGCAAATACATATTATTCTTTTTATTTTTCTTTAGAGATAGAGTTTTGTTTTGTCGTCCAGTCTGAAGTACAGTGGGGCAATCATAGCTCACTGAAGCCGTGAACTCCTGGGCTCAAGCAATCCTCCTGCCGTAGCCTAGAACTACAGGCATGCACCACCACACCTGGCTAATATTTTGTTTGTTTATTTGTTTAGAAATGGGGTTTGCCTATGTTTCTCAGGCTTAATTTTACTTACTTTTTTAAAATCCCCACATAAGGACATGTTTAGGATCTGCCTTTTTTTTTTCTTTACTTCTTTTTGAGACAGAATCTGGCTCTGTCACCCAGACTGGAGTGCAGTGGTGCAATCGCAGCTCATTACAACTTCCGCCTCCCAGGTTCAAGCGAGTCTCCTGCCTCAGCCTCCCAAGTAGCTGGGACTATAGGTGCATGCCACCACCCCGGCTAATTTTTGTATTTTTTAGTAGAGACAGTTTTACCATGTTAGCTAGGCTGGTTCTCAAACTCCTGACCTCAAGTAATCGGCCCACCTTAGCCTCCCAAAGTGCTGAGATTACAGGGGTGAACCAATGAGCACAGGCTGATTATTTATTTATTTTTTTTTTATTTTATTTCATTTTTTTGAGATGGACTTTTGCTCTTGTTGCCCAGGCTGGAGTGCAATGGCGTGATCTCAGCTCACTGCAACCTCCACCTCCTGGGTTCAAGCAATTCTCCTGCCTCAGCCTCCCGAGTAGCTGGGATTACAGGCATACCCCACCATGCCCAGCTAATTTTTGTATTTTTAGTAGAGATGCGGTTTCTCCATGTTGGACAGGCTGATCTCAAATTCCCAACCTGAGGCAATCCACCTGCCTCGCCCTCCCAAAGTGCTGGGATTACAGGCGTGAGCCATCGTGTCGGCCTTTTTTCAAAAATAGAGACAGAATCTCACCATGTTGGTCAGGTTGGTCTTGAACTCTGGCCTCAAGCAATCCTCCCACCTCTGCCCCACAAAGTGCTAGGATTACAGGTGTGAGCCAACTTGCCCAGCCTGCTTTTTTTTCAGGCCAAATAACATTCCATTGCATGTACATACATTCACAATATAAATGCACTTAATACTAAAATGTACATGTAAAAATGGTTAAGACAGTAAATGTTATGGTATGTGGTTTTTTTAACCACATACCATAACATTTACTTTAAATTTAAAACAAATCTTTTTTTTTTTTTTTTTTGAGATAGAGTTTCGCTCTTGTGGCCTAGGCTGTAGTGCAGTGGCATGATCTCTGCTCACCACAACCTCCGTCTCCCAGGTTCAAGCAATTCTCCTGCCTCAGCCTCCTGAGTAGCTGGGATTACAGGCATGAGCCACCATGCCCAGCACACAAATCATTTTTTAAATGACATATAGACATACCCTTTGATGCAACATTGTAACTATATATCTATCCTATTAATATGCACATATGTGGAAAATGATACGTCTTCAAGAATATTCATTGCTCCAGATGAAGTTTCTTATAAAAAAATTTTTTAATAAAAAAATATAAAAATAAGGCCGGGCACGGTGGCTCAAGCCTATAATCCCAGCACTTTGGGAGGCTGAGGTGGGTTGATCACGAGGTCAAGAGATGGAGACCATCCTGGTCAACGTGGTGAAACCCCGTCTCTACTAATAATACAAAAAATTAGCTGGGCATGGTGGCGCATGCCTGTAATCCCAGCGACTCAGGAGGCTGAGGCAGAAGAATTGCCTGAACCCAGGAGGCGGAGGTTGCGGTGAGCCGAGATTGCGCCATTGCACCCCAGCCTGGGTAACAAGAGCGAAACTCCATCTCAAAAAAAAAAAAAAAAAAATATATATATATATATATATATAAATTTTAAAAAAGAATATTCATTGCAATGTATCTCTCTCTTTTTTTTTTTTTTTTTTTTTTTTTTTTGGAGACAGAGTCTCCCTCTGTCCCCCCAGCTGGAGTAAAATGGTATAGTCTTGGCTCACTGCAACCTCCACCTTCTGGATTCTATCGATTCTCCTGCCTCAGCATCCTGAGTAGCTGGGATTACAGACAGTCACCACCACGTCCGGCTAATGTTTGCATTTTTTTCTTAGTAGAGATGGGGTTTCACCATGTTGGTCTGGCTGGTCTCGAACTCTTGACCTCAAGTGATCCACCTGCCTCAGCCTCCCAAAGTGCTGGGATTACAGGTATAAGCCACTGTGCCAACTCTAATATTTTTTGTTTTAACAAGAGGTTAGACTCACATGTCCATCAGAAGGAGGCCAGTGAAATAAATTATGCTCCACTATACAATGAAATATTAGGGAGTCCTTTAAAAGGAATGGGAAGATACTTATACTAACAGGAAAAATTGCCATGATACATTGGAAAGTGTAAAGGCAAGCAATTGTGTAAAAAACAGGTGGGAGGTAGTGGATAGGAGGAGAGGGGAAGAAAAATATATGTGTATTTGCTTGTATATTGATAGACATCTGTGAAAAGAAACACTAGAAATATACAACATTAGGCTGGGCCCAATGGCTCACACCTTTAATCCCAGCAAAAACTTTGGAAGGTTAAGGCAGGAGGAGTGCTTGAGCCCAGAAATTTGGGGCAGTGCACTATGACCATGCCTGTGAATAGCCACTGCATTCCAGCCGGGCAACACAGTGAAACCCAGTCTCTAAAAAACAAACAAAAAGTGGTTAGGGGGTCTTATTTTAACCTTCCAAATGCTTGAAGTCATTTGTGACCACCGGCCACCCTCCCTCACCCTGAGCCCCGTGTCCCGGCCTTCCCTTTTAACCAATGAAACAGCCTCAACCTTTAACCTTCTCTCATTTACCAATTTAGCACCTGTTCAATCATTCTGGCTTTTCTGAGCTCTCAACATCTTTCTTAAAATGTAGATTTACAATTGGTTCATGATATTTTATTAAGGATTAGACATATCAAATATTGTCAGAGGATTATTGATTGACTAGGTTTACACGTGTCCTCCCATTAACACTTTCTCATGTTAGCTTTTCCAAGAATATTTTTTTTATTTTTGAAACAAGATCTCACTATGTCACCACTATGCAGTGGCACGATTTTGGCTTACTGCAACCTCTGCCTCCTCCGGATCAAGTGATCCTCCCACTTCAGCCTCCCAAGTATCTGGGAATACAGGCACATGCCACCATACCTGGCTAATGTTTTGTATTTTTTATCAGAGACAGGGTTTTGCCATGTTGCCCAGGCTGGTCTTGAACACCTGGGCTCAAGCCATCTACCTGCCTTGGCCTCCCAACGTGCTAGGATTACAGGCATAAGCCACCATACCCAGCCAATATCTCTGTTCTGAACCATCTTTATGGAAACAAAATCAGGTGGCTGATGTTAATTAAGGTGTGGCCCACATCCCAGAGTTTAGTTTGTTTGGTTTTAATTTTTTTCTTTTTTTTTAGATGGAGTCTCCCTCTGTTGCCCAGGCTGGAGTGCAGCAGCGTGATACTCCTGTCTCAGCCTCCTGAGTAGCCTGGCTAGTTTTTTTTTTCTGGTAGAAATGAGGTTTTGGGGCCAGGTTTGGTGGCTCGCGCCTGTAATCCCAGCACTTTGGGAAGCTGAGGCAGGCAGATCACGAGGTCAGGAGATCGAGACCATACCAGCTAACACTATGAAATCCCACCTCTAAAAAAATTAAATAAAATAAGATTTCACCATGTTGACCAGGCTAGTCTTGAACTCCTGGCCTCAGGTGAGTGTTAGGATTACAGGTGTGTACCACCTCACCTGGTCAGCTTTTTTTTAATTGGAAAAAAATGGAATGCTTCATGAATTTGCATATCATCCTTGTGTAGGGGCTATACTAATCTTCTCTTATTCCAATTTTAGTATATGTGCTGCCAAAGTGAGCACCATAGCTGATGTTCTTTACATCAAAAAGAGATCTATGGATTGTAAACCCACCTATCTGTGGCAGAGGGAATGCTGCCAGGATACCCTCCTTTAACAGAAGCCAAAGGTGAAGAGGTGAGAGAGGAACAGTAGTCTCAGGTCACTGGGGAATGACACAGACCAATTTAGTCAATTCAGCAGAATATTCAGTCAATCCATATATCTGATACACTAATTATCTGCAATGCATACTAAATTACATGTCTAAGACCAGAATTTTCAAACTATAGTACCATCTAACTAAAAAGGGATTTCTCTGCCAGTCTATTTATTTACTGAGAGTTCAAGACTTTAGTTAAAGATAAGGGATGGAGGCAACCCGACCCATCAACAGGCAATCAAGAGATATTTTTCTGGCCGGGCATGGTAGTTCACACCTGTAATCTCAGCACTTTGGGAGGCTGAGGCAGGCGGATCACCTGAGGTCAGGAGTTCAAGACCAGCCTGGCCAACATGGTGAAACCCTGTCTTAAAAAAAAAAAATTAAAAATTAAAAAAAAAAAAGAGACATTTTTCTGAGAACAAAAGTGAAAGAAAATCAATGGAGGAGCCGGTCCCCACTTTTATATTCTAGAGGTCACAACCACTTTCAATCGTTTCCTCCCAGAAGCCCTTACTTTTTGACCCTGGATGACCTTACTGTTTTACCAACAGATAGAAACCTAGGTGGATTGAATTAATTTTGCTGTCATCAATCCATCAATCACAGGCTTGTTAAATATTAATGCATCAGACCAAAATGACATCAGTTTCTCCAAGAAGTATTCAGGTAACAAAATTCAACTACATTAGCAACTAGAGCTGTAAGGACAATAAGATTATTTTATCCTATTTTTCAAAATACCAATTTTGAATTTTTTTAATGTGATTTTAGTAAATACAGATCACCTCTAAGTATTGTGTGAATAATTTATATCTTAAAACTCCATGAAGGGCTATGTATAGTGGCTCACGCCTGTAATCCCAGCACTTTGGGAGTCAGAGACGGGCAGATCATGAGCTCAGGAGTTTGAAACCAGCCTGGCTAATATGGTGAAACCCTGTCTCTACTAAAAATGCAAAACTTAGCCAGGCATGGTGGCAGGTACCTGTAATCTCTGCTACTTGGGAGGCTGAGGCAGGAGAATCACTTGAACCCGGGAGGTGGAGGTTGCAGTGAGCCGAGATCAAGCCATTGCGCTCCAGCCTGCGGAACAGAGCAAGACTCCATCTCAAAAAACAAAACAAAAAAAAACTGGGCATAGTGGCTCACACCTGTAATCCCAGCACTTTGGGAGGCTGAGGCAGGCGGATCAAGAGGTCAGGAGTTTGAGACCAGCCTGACCAACATGTGAAACCTCTTCTCTATTAAAAATACAAAACTTAGCTGGGCATGGTGATGTGCTCCTATAATCCCGGCTACTCAGGAGCCTGAGACAGGAGAATCACTTGACCCAGGGAGGTGGAGGTTGCAGTGAGCCCAGATCGCGCCACTGCACTCCAGCCTGAGCGACAGAGCAAGACTCTGTATCACAAACAAACAAACAAAAAACTCCATGAAGAAGAAACAACTATTCTATACAGGAGATTTTCTTTTTTAAATCAGTGCATCAATGTAACATGTAGCCATTAAGATACAAGTAGACTGGTGAGTGACCCAGAGAATATTAAGGATATACTGTAATATTAAAAAACAATGGGCACCATACAATACCGTTAAATACATAATATTTCCTTCTTTTTTTTCTTTCAAAATGGAATTTTGCTCTTGTCACCCAGGCTGAAGTGCAATGGCTCAATCTCAGCTCACTGCAGCCTCTGCTTCCTGGGTTCAAGCGATTCTCCTTCCTCAGACTTCCCAGTAGCTGGGATTACAGGTGCGAGCCACCATGCCCAGCTAATTTTTGTATTTTTAGTAGAGATGGGATTTCACCATGTTGCCTAGGTTGGTCTCAAATTCCTGACCTCAGGTGATCTACCCACCTCAGCCTCTACCCATTCCAGCCAAAGTGCTGGAATTATAGGCATGAGCCACCGTGCACAGCCCAATCTCTTCTATTTTTAAAGAGAGGTATTCCAGCATTTTCGGGGGCTGAGGTGAGTGGATGGCTTGAGCTCAAGAATTCGAGACCAGTCTGGGCAACATGGCAAAAACTCCTCTACCAAAAAATGCAAAAATAGCTTGGTGTGATGGCATGTGCCTGTAGTCCCAGCTACTTGGGGAGCTGAGGCAGGAGGATCACTTAAGCCCAGGAGGTCAACGCTGCAGCGAGCCAAAATCTCCCATTACACTCCAGCCTGGTGACAAAGTGAAACCCTATATCAAAATTAAATTAAATTAAATTTAAAAATTAGCTGGGCATGGTGGCACTACTTGGGAGGCTGAGCTGGGAGAACTGCTTAAACCCAGAAGGTTGAGGCTGCAGAGAGCCATGATGGTACCAATGCACTTCAGCCCAGGCAACAGAACAGACCCTATCTTAAAAATAAAAAAATAAAATCAATAAAAATAAAATTGAGTACTTCTGTTTAAAGTTAATTCTTCAGACCTAAGTACCCTCCTTATTCACTCATCCCCATGTCCACAACATGCCTTTTTCCTACCTTTTTGTCTGCATCTAAATAAGAATGCCAGATTTAGCAACCCTATATCAATTGCAATGCTTCAGACATAAGTATAGTGAAATAATTATTATTTTTTTTGTTGTTGTTGTTCTTTTCTTTTTTAGATGAAGTCTCACTCTGTCCCCCAGGCTGGAGTACAGACACCCAATCTCAGCAACCTCTGCCTCCCGGGTTCTTGCAATTCTCCTGCCTTAGTCTCCCAAGTAGCTGGGACTACAGGTGCACAGCCACCACACCTGGCTAATTTTTTGTACTTTTTAGTAGAGATAGGGTTTCACCATGTTGCTCAGGCTGGTCTCAAACTCCTGAGCTCAGGCAATCCACCTGCCTCATCCTCCCAAAGTGCTGGGTTTACAGGCGTGAGCCACCATGCCTGGCCTGGTTTTTTGTTTGTTTTGTTGTTGTTGTTTGAGACAATCTCACTATTTTGCCCAGGCTGGAGTGCAATAGCATGATCTCAGCTCACTACAACCTCCACCTCCCAGGTTCAAGCAATACTTGTGCCTCAGCCTTCAAAGTAGCTGGAATTATAGGCTACTTTGCATTACCATGCCCAGCTAATGTTTGTATTTTTATTTGTTTTTTTGTTTTTTTTTTTTTCTGCTGCCCATAGTCCCGACTTGGCCATAAGGGCGTTCATGCTCACCCAAACTGGATACTGCAAAAACCGTATCAGCGCAAAAGTTGGCAGCCAGGGGTCTAATCTTTTTTTTTTTTTTTTTTTAAAGAAGGGAAAAAAAAGAAAAAGAGGGAAAAAGGAATATTACTTCATTCCTAAAATGGGTTTCAATAATGGCCGATCAATATTTTGAGTGTTTAAAGTGGTTAATGCATATTTTATGTGTTTAAAATGGAGACCTCTATTGTGTTTATTTGTTCTGGCTCTGAGTTCAAGTCCTGGATATCGTTATCAATTTGTTGTCTCGTTGACTCTAAATCTCTTTATGTGTCTTATGTATCTGGGTGTTAAGATCTCTTATTGTTGCATTAATCCTTTTACCCTTGCATCCTTGTAGCTTTGAAATCTATTTTATTAAATGTGAGAATTGCAACTCCTGCTTTTTATTTATTTATTTTTGCTCTTCATTTGGTTGGTAAGTTTTTTTTTCCATCCCCTTGTTTTGAGTCTTTGTATATCTTTAGATATATCGTTAGATTTTGTGGATAATGTATATTTTGTGTGTTTAAAATGGAGAGCTCTATTGAGTTTATTTGTTCTGGATCTTAGTTCCAGTCCCGGATATCGTTATCAATTTTCTGTCTCGTTGAATCTAAATCTCATTATGGGTCTTATGTATCTAGGTGTTAAGATCTCTTATTATTACATTAATCCTTTTACCCTTGTATCCTTGTAGCTTTGAAATCTATTTTGTCAAATGTGAAAATTGCAACTCCTGCTTTTTATTTATTTATTTTTGCTCTCCATTTGGTTGGTACATTTTTTTTTTCCAACCCTTTATTTTGAGTCTATGTATATCTTTGGATATACCGTTAGATTTTGTCTGTATCTTTTAATTGGGAGATTTGGTCAATTTAAATTTAGGGTTGCTGCCATTTGATATTAACTGGCTATTTTGTCCTTTCGTTTATAAAAATTCTTCTTTATGTTAATGCTCTTTACTTTTTGGTGTATTTTTAGAAAGGGTCATACTGGTTGTTCCTTTCTGCGTATAATGCTTCTTTTAGAAGTTCTTGTAGAGCAGGCCTGGTGGTAATAAAATCTCTGAGTACTTGCTTGTTCCTGAAAGATTTTATTTTTCCTTCAAATGTAAAGCTTAAATTGGCAGGATATGATATTCTGGGATGAAAGTTCTGTTGATTAAGTATATTGAATATTGGCCCCCACTCTCTTCTAGCTTGTAGGGTTTCCGTTGAGAGATCTGCTGTAAGCCTAACAGGCTTACCTTTATGGGTAACTTGATCTTTCTCTCTGGCTGCCCTTAATATTTTCTCCTTCGTTTCGATCTTGGTGAATCTAACGATTATGTGCCTTGGGGTTGGTCTACTTGAGGAATATCTTTGTGGTGTTCTGTGTATTGCCTGGGGTTGAATAGTGTCCTGCTTTGCTAAATTAGGAAAATTTTCCTGGATAATGTCCTGGAGAGTATTTTCCAGCTTGAATTCATTCTCTCCGTCACATTCAGGTACACCAATCAAGCGTATATTAGGTCTTTTCACATAGTCCCATATTGCTTGGAGACTTTGCTCATTCCTTTTTATCCTTTTTTCTCTATTCTTGTCTTGTTGTTTTGTTTCATTAAGTTGATCTTCGACCTCTGATACCCTTTCTTCTGCTTGATCCATTCGGCTGTTTAAGCTTGTACAAATTTCACTAAGTTCTCGTGTTGTATTTTTCA